CACTAGTTGGCAGCAGTGAGCCAGTCATTTGGCTACTCTACCTCTTGAGGTAGAGGCCATTGTTAAGTGTTTGGTGACCATATTGTAAATTAATATTAAAAGCTAAAAGCTGCAACAAATATACTTTCAAACTATTTATTGTCAAATTTAGTCTAATAATTGAAACCATGGATGAAATAAGAAATATGAAACAAATAAAATAAAATGCATACAAAGTAGAACACAGCTAAATGTATCAAAATGTATTGCCTTGCTTATAGTATCGCAATATATCAGGATATATCGTATCGTGACCCCTCTGTCATGATATGTATCGTATCGCCAAATTCTTGCCAATACACAGCCCTAATACCAATGCTTATTTTGGTATCAATACTATTGATACTATTGATATTTAGATTGATACGCCCACCACTATTGTGTTGTAGAGTAAATCAGAAGTGGGACGAGGAAATCATTGGGCCTCATGCAAGAACATTTTTGTATTTTTATCCTAAATTTCTCTTACTTTTGTTAATACGAAGGGCTTATACAAATATGCCATGTCAGATTCAGCAAACGCTTCTATTGCAAGTGTGTAAATGAGCAGCGTAAACATGAAAAATGCCTCCTGTAGATGCTCGTGCACGAGGAGAGGAGATTAGCATAATTACCACCCCAAAAACACCATATAAGGCTATGATTCCGGCCCCACATACCAGGAAGTGTACATTCATGAAAATGACAGCGAAAAATAAAAAGAAGAACTTCACAAATTTGGAGATTGAAGTCCTGCTCTCAGAGATCCAGAAAAGAAAATCTGTCATTTTTAGCAGCGTCAGCTGTGGAATTAAAGGAGCTGCTAAAGCKRAGGMATGAAATGACGTCTGCTGTTAATGCTGTGTCTCCTGCGGGTCGTATACAAACACAAAAATAAAAATCTAAATCATTTTCATCTCTGATTTTCCTTTCTGGGATATTTTTAATTTAAGTGTAAACAACTGTGTTAAATAATTTTCATTTATTCAGAAGAAGAGCCATGGCCCGGACTGATGTGCCAGTCGCACACCATCTCCCACACAAGTGTCAGATGTGGTTTTGAAGAAAGCATTTTAAAATGTCTCCAAAAACATGTCTGGCACTTAGGAGAAAATAGCAGACAGTCTTTCATGCATAGCTGATGTGCTGAAAAACGAGGCCCCTGCCGAACGGGACGAAAGCAGAGGGAGATTCTTAAAGAGACAGAGTCCAATTTCAAGGCATTTAGAAGAGGAAGTGATGAGA